CTAGGTTCTTGAAAGTAACACCTTTTGCTCTGATTACTGCTTCACACACTCTTGGCATTCTCTTTATGAGCTTAATAGTCTTCCAACAGTCTTGAAGGAGTTCCCAGAGATGTTCAACACTTGTTGGTCCTTTTGCCTTCACTCCGTTGTCCAGCTCACCCCAAAACCATCTGGACTGGGTTCAGGTCCGGTGACTGTGGAGACCAGGTCATCTGGCTCAGCACCCACCACTCTCCTTATTGTTCAAACAGTCCTTACACAGCCTGGGCGGCAGGCGCGGTGGCTGAGAGGAGTGGAGTTTGCCTGTTCTCCCTGTGTCTGCGTAGGTTTTCTCCGGGTACTCCGGTTTCCCCTACCACTAAAAACGTGTACAATAGGTCTGGCATGCGCCTCCTGTACTGGCGACCCATGCTCCCATCTCTGTGTGGAGTGAGAGACAAATGCCCAAAAATAACATTTGCAAACCGCTTTGTGACTCTGGTCTGTGAAAGGCGGTATATAAATAAAGATTACTTACTTACTTGGGTGTGAATGTACAGTCAATAGTCATGAAAAGAAAAGAAACTCATTGAATGAGAAAGTGTGTCCAAACTTTTGGTCTGTACTGTAAATGCACAATATTTGTTATTCATATTTCTGTTGTGGCCATACATAGATAGATATGGTCGGCACTAGATCATTTACGGAATCGGGACGGAAGCGGAAGTAAATATAACCAACTACCTAAACTAATAGATCCATGCCTAAACTTAACCAGCCATTCCCATAAAATAACCCCAACCCACCCCAATCCTAATCTTAACTATCTTACCCAGACACCAAAAACTTAACCAGTCACCACTTTGGGACTTATTAGTCTAAAACTAATTCGAAACTAGGATTGTTACTTCCGCTTCCGTCCCTATTCCGTTTATGATTTAGTGCCGACCATAGCCTCATGGCGCTGGAAAAAATGACAGCGTGGCAAGAGCTCTGGCGTGTAGATCTGGTGCACACTGGGGTAGTCTTGCACAGTTTTTCCAATGGGGTTTTACTGCAAATGGCAAATAAATCCTTGAATGTTGTATAGTTAGTTATAAGTGGATGGCTTTTGGCGGTGCTGCTTGTTGCTGTGATTTAACTTTTGTACGTACTGTCAGTGCTCTTTCATCCGCTGGGAGTCTGTTTGTGTGAGAGGTTTTGTGTTTGGCTGCGGGAGCAACACGAGGCACTAGTTCAGCACAGTCCATCGCCCTCGTCCCGCTGCACCGTGACAAGGTGATGGACAGATTTTTACACAAGCCCCAACCGGCTACATGTGCCGTTCTGACGTCTATCAATAAATAATGGTGTTGCTACAGTTCGGTTCAGTGTTTTTTCCTCGTCCTGGCAGTGTTTTGTCATAGAAGCTGGAAGCACAAACAGACACGCAGCCGTCCATCTCAAGGGGTTTCATAATACGAGCTCGTTACATAATATTTGAAAAAAAAAAAAAAAGCCGTATTGTACAAGCTCATGTGTGATATGATGTACAGGCAGGTTGAAGTTGTAAATATGAGGGTTTTCAGTTGTAACCATGGCATTACACATCTCTGTCTTCATGTAAAAGACTATTTGCCAAGTCTATTTTTTTGAGTTTTTAAATGTATTCCCTTCTGTACTTTTAATTGTGTGATGTTTTTTTGATATATTGTAAGGCGTCCTTGGGTGTCTTGATGTGCACCATGAAATAATGTTAATTATTATTATTACTAATACAATAGCTTTGGGCTAAATTCATGAGTCATATCGGTCAAGAAGCTATTCCACAGTGCCGTAATCCTGATGCTCAAGGTGTTCAATTTAGGGTTGGAGTTAACCATTTTGGCCGATTATTCTTTCGATTAATCGATTAGTTGTTTGAATCCTGAAAAGGTCAGTGAATATCATGTTTTTATTCATTTGACCATCACTCTATGCCACTGTCGCTTTTTAACTGTACTGTTAATTGCCCAAAATGTGCACGTGTATAAAATTTTAAGTAGTCATTTTAATATAATTTTCTTTATGCATGCCATTGTCTATTTTTACTCTTACACCTTGTTTGCACCTTGAGCCAAAGCAAACTCCTAATTTGTGACATCTTGTTACTTACACATTGGGTTTTGGATGAAGCAAATTGCATCATTATGTAGTCCATCCATCCATCCATCCATCCATTTTCTACCCTTTAATCCATTTCTGGGTCAGGGGGGTGGCAGTCAGAGATGCCACCCAAGTCTCATAGCACCAGCCCCTCACTGATCCTCTGCAGGTGGTGAGTCCACAGGAGGACGGCTGCTCTCTGAGTGTGAGCATAGCCTTGATCTTTCAGTGGGGGCTTTTGGGCAAAGTGGGGTTAAGTGTCTTGCCCAGGGACACAACGACAGCAGTCATCAGTGGGAGTCGGTGGAGAAGGTGCAGAGGTGGGAATGAATTCATTATGTAGTCATTATGTAATTATCAGATACAAAAACCTCCTCTTGGCATGTCTATACTGTATGTAAGGTAGCTATTTTAATTCGATTAGATGCAATTAATACATTCTCTTGATACAGCCCTGGTTCAGTAATGTCAATCTGTGGATCAACAGTGAATAAGCAGTAGAATGGAGATAAGACGCTGCAGAAACTTCTCCAAGGAGAAAAACTGTAAATTGAACTAGTTAAAGAAATTGCAAGAAAAACACAATATTTTTTATATTTTTTTACCATGCAATTGATGCTTGACTAATTTTTTTTTTTTTTTACTTACTTTATTCAAGATTCATGTTTCATTTTGATCATAATTTAAATAATATATAATCACTGCCATTGCATATTGAGGCATATCTAAAAACAAAGAAGAAGAACATGAAGGTTATAAAACCAAAGACAAAGTAGCTCTGATCAAAAAGTACTGTATTTACTAATCTTATTTTGATTAAAACACAAACTAGCATGAGCCGCATTTAGTAAAGTACGTATATTGTGTGCGGTTTATAAATAAATACACCGGGTCAGCATGAGTTCTGGTGTAGTTAAAAGGAAATGCAAATGTTGTACGGCCTCCCACGAATGTCTCTGCTGATGTTGCAGTGAGGCATTTACTGACTGCAGAGGGCCGCTCTGAGTAGATATGATCTTGTTTGACTTTAACTAAAAGCTTGTGAATGGCTGCTGTTCCTGATACAATCTGATTAACGGCTCTTTGGCTCTGGTCCTTTAGACCAGAGACTTCACCGCAGGTCCATGACGGAGTTCAGATGGAAAAAAGTTAGAATCCAGAAAGACATATTGTTCTCTCAACTCGGCTATGAAAAATCTGTTCTCTGTTTTAAGCTTTTGTTTACAATTCACTTCATTCACAGAATCTCTCACGCGTTGTGGCCTGAATGTGTGTGCTTTGGTTTTTGTCCCAGTTAACAACTCACACATTACCTCATATACAATTCCCACACATTTAAAAAAAATAATCTTTATAGAGTTATGACCCTTTGTACATCTTTTTTTTCAAGCAGAAATGTATGTTTCACTGCAAAAATGTAATAAGGTAAGTATATTTGAAGATAAATAAATAAACGCTTGATTTATGTCGGTTTTATTTGTTCTTGCATATGAGAAAGCCAGATCCTGTCAGACCTCTGAAGCTGTGCGGGGTAGGGCCTGGTAATTACAGTGATGGGAGACCTCTGGGCAGACCCGGTGCCGCAGTGGGGCGGCTGTAGCTGTAAAGCTTCAAACTGTCGTTGTGTCCTTAGGCAAGACACATAATCCATATTGCTTAGAATGAGTCTGATGTGTGTGTGAGTGGTTGGTGGTGGTTGGAGAGGCAGATTTCACATACAGTACTAGTTGCCTTCCTTCCATCAGTGTGCCCCAGGGCAGCTGTGGCTACAGTAGTAGTTTATCTCCAGAGGGAAAGAATAATGACATGTGTTTGAGTGTCCTGAAAAGCGCTATATAAAACTGATGCATTATTATTATTATTATTATTGATCAAGAGACATGTTTCCATATATTCACGTGATTTTAACTGATATAACTATTTTTTATGTCAAGGCAAGGCAAGGCAAGTTTATTTATATAGCACAATTCATACACAAGGCAATTCAAAGTGCTGAACAAAACAAGAAAGTATTAAAATCATAAATAATCACAGAACATTAAAAAGAAAGCTAAAAGTATAAAATCCCTCAGTTGTATGCACAGCTAAACAGAACTGTCTTTAACCTGGTTTTAAACATTGTCAGAGAGGAGGCCTGTCTCACATCTTCAGGAAGACTGTTCCAGATTTTAGCAGCATGAATCCAAGTCTGTGACTTCCTGTTTCTTACGTGGCAATAAAAATTATTCTGATTCTGATTCTGGATTTGCCATTAATAGTCTAGCCCCATTCAAAATCAAAGTCAAGTTCGTTTATATTGCACATTTACAACTTCAAGAACCCAAAGTTCCATACACTCCACACATGCAGCCCTAATCCTCATATTCTCAACTGAACTACACTGTAAACCTAGTGAACTGAACTGTAAAATGTGCCTGTACAATAAGTTTCCCCCTCAGAGCGTTTTGGCCACAGAGGAGGGCCAGTCCGATTTCCAGCCGACTTCATTAACTTTGAACGGCTCTTTTATCTGCGCTGAAGTGGACCATTAGGCCAGAGCGTGGTGGTAACTGATCGGCTAATCTGCCACTGATTTATGTGCCAGGGAAATGTGAGGACTTAAGCGAGCATCAGCACTCATTGATTACTGACATGGTTAATTGGCTAAAGCCACTGGAACTCTGAGACAGGCTTATTGGAAATGTCAAAGCAAGCAGCTCATTTGCATTCATGATGTATGGTGTCTGTCTCAGGCACACACACAGTTGTTGAGCAAAGGCCTGGGAACTCTGCCTCCAATTTGCACTGACCATCTGTGCGAGAGGACACGGGCCGGAGCAGGAGGCCTCTGCACTCTCAGATCTCACACATTCTTACACTGCAAATAATAGGGGCCCCCGACCTGGTTGATGCTGTGGATGCGCTGGATGTGTGAGTGACAGGTTACATTTTTTAGTGCTGGTTTAGAAAGGGGTGACTTTTCTTGGTGAGACAGAACTATTTCAAATTTGCAGTACTTTTACATCGGTCAAGTGGACTTTTGAAGATGACAAGAATAGAAAAAAAACATCGAAGTTGAATTTTATTATACAGAAATGTTGTAAAAGTATAGTATAGTAGAAGTGGGGAATACATGTTTTGTGTGAGTGTGTAAAGTTTTTTCAAAAATTTGGCTTTGTGTTTTTTTCATTAAAAAGTAATCAGATTTGATCTTGGTGGTTTTACTGCCAGTGAGCGCAGATGAAAGCAGCATGAAATTGAACATGTATGAGTATTATGATCCAGTGAAAGTTTTACCAAGAGGCTTCATCTCCTGGGTCTGTACTTGCACATGCTATATTGAATATATTCGTAAGTAAAGGACATATTGTACACAGCTAAGTACATATACATATAGTTATTTGACACTGTTATAAGTAATGATGAAGTTAAATCTCTCAAGAACACGCCTTTTGTCCTAAATCAATTCAATCCATTTCTCATTTGCTAAAGACGTCCATTGATCAGTCAATGTGATGTGTGAAGACGGACCTAATGCAGTGTAATTTAGAGCTGACATGTTCCACAAAGTTTTCTATCTATCTATCAATACTATAGAATCTGAAAGAGCCGCATAGATTACACATAACAGCAGAAACAGCTAACACGGACACTTTGAGAAACCACATACACTGTCTGTCTTGTTTTCAGATCCATTATATTAATCAATATCCAAATGTGTAATAATTCAGGAATAGTCCTTTAATTGTCGAGTTCAGAATATGATCATTTCATATTCCTCTAAGCTCTGCCTTGTGATACATTGAAACAAATTACAGAAATTTTGGTGGATTGATCGTACACACATTTGGTGATATATAGAGGCTGGGCAGGCAGCAGAGAATGCATTTCTGTTGTTTATACTTTTGTTTTGGATTTAAGTTACTAATGTTGCATAGTATGAGGGTAGCGACAGCAGCATGAGTGCATGGATGATGTGCGGATCAGAGGAGAACAGGACACATATTGACGATTACCGACATTCATTAGGAAATGGTGTGTAATGTGTTGCATATTTATTATAAAGTAAATGTGAATAATAATAATATTTACATTTACAATATACAATAACATTATACTAAACTATAACTTCTACCTGGAGGAAACCTACGCAGACACACATGCAAACTCCACTCAGAAAGGCCCTGTTCCGACCGGGATACGAACCCAGGACCTTCCTGAAGGAGACTTTTTTGTATTATTACTTGTCCTAACCCCCCTCCCCCCTCTGTTCCTCTGCCCCCCTCTCAGCCCTGCTGGAGGTGATTGTGGCGGGGAAGGACTGCTTGGTGGCAGGCGATTCGTGTTCCAGTGACGAGAGCTGCAGTCCTCGCCTCCGGACCCTTCGTCAATGTGTGGCGGGGAACGGCAACATGAAGCTGGGCCCCGGGGCCAGGAGCCAGTGTGCTAATGCGGTGTCCGCTCTGCTCTCCAGTCCGCTGCACGGCTGCCAGTGCAAGAGAGGCATGAAGAAAGAGAAGAACTGTCTGAGCATCTACTGGAGCCTGCACCAGTCTGTCATCCACGGTGAGGAGACATGTGACACAACACATTATGGGCTTTGTGTGAAAAGGAAAAGGAATTCTATACGGATGGTATTCTTCACTGCATCATGTAACCAGGCCGTTTAACTCTAAAAAAAAAACAGCCAGGTAAATGTTACTTTTGGATGCACCACTGCTCCAATGGAGTATACTCAAAATCAGGAGTATAAATCAGACTACAATGCTTCAATCTTCATCTTTTTTTGTGCATTGGAGCAAAGTTCAGTGTTAGGGGCTCTGCTTTTCTTCTGGCCGAAAGGAAACATACGTTATAGAGGGCGTATTGAATGGTTTGATAAAATATCAAGAAGTTGCATCTCTTATTTTTGATTTAGAACTGACATCACATCAAATACTTGTCTGAGCTGTTTCTTTGAAAAACAATCCCCAAATGCGTTCTTGGAGCTACCAGTGCTTATAGAGTGGTCGTGGATAATACCAATATGACATACCTGATTGTACACAATTAGTAGAGCAGATGTTTTCCGTACAGGCTTGAATCTGGTGGAGAATTATCCCTATGAGACGGTGCACAAGGATTACGACTACGTCCGTCTGGCCTCTATCACAGCTGGTAAGTCCATTTACCTTCATTATGGCCTTATCTGCCCATTCCACCACTGATGACGCTCTTGTATTAATCTTTTCTTGGATGCGAGCTCAAGGCAAAACAAGGATACGAACATAAAGCACTTCTCTACACACAAAACAATGTATTTAAATTCACTGCTGGTTCTGATTTACTTTGTTCCGTTATTTTTGCTCAAGGCTGTTTACCAGAGAACAAAAGGATTCTTATTCAAAGATCTGCCTTAAGTGGGAAAAATAGATTTTCTCAAAATCATCTTTGGCCAATTTAACAATGTAACATATCAACCTTTTATCTGCACTATCTGCAAATATAAAATGTCAATTTTGTTATCCGTCTACGATTTTTTTGTAAAGCCCACCACATACACATGGCAACCCAAATTGTTTAAAAAAACAAGACAGGAAGAAGAAATGAACACAATTCTTCAGTTGTATCCACAGCTGCTTTGAATCTGGATTTGAACAGTGTCAAAGTGTGAGAGTGTGTGAGAAGCCTGTTTGACATTTTTCAAAAAACTGGTCCAGATTTTAGTTCTGAAATGCTAGAAAACCAGCAGGAGCTAGGCCAGTCCCTATCCCCCTCAGAGCCTGAGTTAGTTCATATGGCACTGTTGTAATGTAAAGTATGCTGTCCACAGTTACAGTATTATCCCGATCTTAGTCCAAGCAAAGACTTTATACCCACTACTTTTGCATCCAGTGCAAGCATCACCAAACTGTGGCTTGATTTTTACTATATTATTTGGCCTATATTTTGACTTCCCCACAGACGCTGAGGCCGGCTTGACAACTGTGAACCGCTGCCTGGACGCGGCGAAGGCATGCAACGTGGACGACACATGCCAGAAGCTGCGCACCGAATACGTGTCGGTGTGCATCAAGCCCACCGCCAAGTCAGGCTTGTGCAACCGGCCCAAGTGCAACAAGGCTCTGCGCAAGTTCTTTGACCGCGTGCCAGAGGACTACACCCACGAGCTGCTCTTCTGCCCCTGCACGGACACGGCCTGTGCTGAGCGACGCCGACAGACGATCGTGCCCAGCTGCTCCTACGAAAGCTCAGAGAAACCCAGCTGTCTCACCCAGATGCAGATCTGTAAAGCTGACTATGTTTGCAGGTACGATTAGGTTGCATACTGTTGGTTGGATTTCGGGTTTGGCCCTCTATCTATTTTACAGATATCAATTCTATAGTTATTCTATTCTTACGCTATTGGCTACTGAATTCTGACAAGCTTCCAGCCCCAGTTTCAACCCAGCGTACCCAACAATTTCTCTCTCATTCGTTCCATCTGTCCAACTGTCTGCTATAGACGTTCAAGTCATCGCTCACATGAAGTTCACACTTGCTTGATTGTTTAATGATCTTATTTTCTCTCCGTCTCTATAATTGAAAATGTGATTTCATAATGTGCTGCTTAAGCTTCTACTGTGATCTGCAGGTGAAAGTGTCATCCAGCCAATTTGAGCACTGCCAGTAAAGGGTCTGCAGTGGTATAAATTGTATCTTAGAAACATCGTAAAACATATTTGTTTGTGCCAGAGCTTGGATAGTGTGATCATACAGGTTGTAGCCTCCTTGCTGGATAACTACCTGCTAGAAAACCAAGCGACCAGCCACTCAATCAACAGAATGGGTCTCTGTTTTACCCCTACAGCTCTCTACGTTCGTGGGTTAGAACGCCCCGGAGAGTCGGCTGGAATAACACATTAAATATTTAGCACAGATAAAGAGCCAGACGGATCAGAGTTATCGCTCATTGCTATCTCTGGTCATGGCCATTATTTTTCACAGGCCCATTACACTCAGAGGGCTTTACTAATGATCCCAGGTCCTGAGGGATGAAATATATTACTCTTTCTATCATTTCTGCAGTCCAATGCGTTCAGTTTTTCTACCATATTTCTAAGAGCTTTCCCCTATCTTTATCATAGTAACATTCAAGCAAAAGTATCACATTAAGATGGTAAACTTTACAAGCAACGCATATCTGCATGGCCTTAACAAAGATAATTGTTTGTATCTAGATCTCGCCTGGCACAGTTTCAGTACGATTGTGCTCCATCCGAAACATCGCCCACAGGCTGCAAGCAGGACAACTATGGAACTTGTCTGCTCGCCTACACAGGCCTCATTGGTAAAGTATTAATGTATTGAGTTTTCTGTTGTTGAACAGTGTCTAACACCAGAAAGATATCATATTGAAACTATCAATGTTAGATGCCAGAAGCTACGCTGGACAATTTTGTTCCATATGTGAGTGATTGCAGTTGGTCAGAGGTTCCCTGATTCGATCTTCTCCAGGCTGTATCTTACCCCAAAAATATATGGAGAAAAAGAAGTGATGTATTTGTATGTGACCGTAACAAGTAAGCTGGTCCATTGGCATTATGGGATTGGTTAAAAAACAAAACTTCAAATTCCAAGATAGTGTGTGATTGTCTTTTCATCTTGTTAATTCGCTGAAATCCAGTAATAAGCAAGCTCAGGAGTTTCCGCATAAAATTACCATTTTCATCTTGGTTGGATTTGCCTTGGGCAGCCTCCACAAAATACAATTCTACAAATACATTCTCTGTTTTCACACCACACAGAGAAATGTTCATTGTACTGAAAAAATATGCTATCACATGTAGATGCAGCTAGACACTTCCTATTTTTCCATTTGCATCAATAGAATTTAATTATCTCTCAACTGTAATGCTGAAACATCAGAACTATAGACTGTATATAGATGGATGACTCAATGGAGCCCAATAGGGAAGTGCTCATGGACAAGTTGGGCTCAACTCATTCTGGCTCCTATTGATTCAAAAATAAACTCCTCTTTTTCAGTAAACATTTGTGTCACACTCACCACTTTTGGCTTTAGAAATCCATGGTTTAGAACTCTCTTTGATCCTGGTGTTTATATCGTGATATTGTCCTAAGATATGAGCCAATACATTCCATAAATCAGACAGTATGCAAAATCTTATGAAATGTTTAAATCGTAGGAGCTGAATTTTATTTGAATTATACCAGTTGTCAGTTTGACTAAATATCAGAGAATGAAACAAGGCTGAAACAACACATTGTGACCAAATCAAGTCCTAAAAACAAAAACCCCCTTTTCTCATTTGGTTAGAGTCATAGCAAACCCTGTGAATAACAAGTGAAAAACCAATGAATATTTAATCCCTTTTGGCCTTCCGTGTGTGCAGGAAGTACAATAACTCCCAACTATGTGGACAACTCCACGTCCAGTGTGGCGCCGTGGTGCTCGTGCGCAAACAGCGGCAGCAAGCAGGACTGCGAAGACTTCATGGGACTCTTCTCTCACAACATCTGCCTGCGTAAGTCTGGCTGTCGTGCATCCCACTTCATCCCACTTGTCTGTCTCTCCCCCTTTCTCTTCTAACTCAAATTGAACAGAAAGTTGTTATGGAATTGTTTCAGCCACTTCTTCCTCTCTCCTCTATTCTGATTCGAGTCCAATCAGAAGTTACCTCTTACCTAGAATAATTGTCATGAAACTATTTTATTTCATTCATTTGTTTTTATATTCTATTTTATCTTCCAAGCTGGCAGAATTTGTTTAAATATATAACTTTTGTCTCTATGCAGCAGTTTAGAATCTTGTTTCATTTGTGTAAAATTAAGTGGTTAGATTGTGGCCTTGTGTTTTGTTTTAAACGTTGTAGATATTCAGTTGTCTCGACGGGATTGGTTCAAATGTATCACTTCCGCCTTTTCTTTGATCGGTTTTCTCCGCTATCACATCTCTTACGACCAGACTAATCAACTTATACTATGAGAAAATTAGTTTCGTATACATGCAGGGTATTTCAATTACACAAAGTTCAGATTATCAAGAGTTTAAAGTCACTCTGTAATTACAAAAACTCACACACTTGGCCTGTCACAATAATTACTTTATCGAGTAATGGGCTCGACACACAGGGGAGTGATAAAAGACAGCGAGCAATGACACTCATCACTTCAAAAATGAAACACACAGAGGGCAGACAACACCTCGTAAACCTATTTGATATGTTGCAAAAGTAAAGATATTATTTTTTACCTCCTCCACTGCAGCCACCGACGTCAATCGAATCAAATTAGTTCATTTTGTACAGCCCAAAATCCCAAATGCAGCCATCTCGAAAAACAAAATTGTTGTCTTGCCAACAGCCTTTTAGACTATAAAATTCTACAACAGTCATTGGTAAAAATATACACAGATTAACTAATGTTCACAGGAATAAAGCACATGGATAGATACTTGGAAAAAACACTGAGAAGGAAGAACAGGCTCTTGTTTCACTGCTGTAAGGATTCCTTTCCATATTCTCTTGTGTTCGGCATTTATCTTTAAAACCTTGTTCATTTTGATTGCCAGATGATAGGAAGTCACCTCAGGCAGACTGAATAAAATATAGAATCAGACACTTCAGGTGATGCAGAGGTGTTTTCAGATCAACTTGTTATATTTTACAAATTAGGAATGAAAATATTTCAGGGTAATAACCTTGTGAGAAGGATTATTTTTCTTCACTTCAATTTATAATGCTAAATCTTGTTTGTATAATTCTATGTGAGAAACTCGGATTAGTTTAAGTGCTGTGAGTTTAAGCCTGGGGTCAATTGTGTTTGGTGCAGTATGATGTTTGACTCATGTAGAACCAACATGGAGTGGAGACCCTTCAACATCACAGCCCTACGACATCACTGCCCTACGACCTCACTGCCCTACGACATCACTGTCCTACGACCTCACAGCCCTACGACATCACTGCCCTACGACATCACTGCCCTACGACATCACTGCCCTACGACATCACAGCCCTACGTCATCACTGCCCTACGACATCACTGCCCTACGACATCACAGCCCTACGACATCACTGCCCTACGACATTACTACCCTACGTCATCACTACCCTACGACATCACTGCCCTATGACATCACTGCCCTACGACATCACTACCCTACGACCTCACCGCCCTACGACATCACTGCCCTACGACATCACTGCCATATGACATCACTGCCCTACAACCTCACAGCCCTACGACATCACTGCCCTACGACATCACTGCCCTACGACTTCACTGCCCTATGACATCACTGCCCTATGACATCACTGCCCTACGACATCACAGCCCTACGACATCACTGCCCTTCGACATCACAGCCGTACGACATCACTGCCCTACGACATCACTGCCCTACGACATCACTGCCGTACGACATCACTGCCCTACGACCTCACAGCCCTACGACATCACTGCCCCACGACATCACTGCCCCACGACATCACTGCCCCACGACATCACTGCCCCACGACCTCACAGTCCTACGACATCACAGCCCTACGACATCACTTCCCTACGACATCACTGCCCTATGACATCACTACCCTACGACTTCACTGCCCTACGACATCACTGCCCTACGACATCACTGCCCTACGACATCACTGCCCTACGACATCACTGCCCTACAACCCCACAGCCCTATGACATCACTACCCTACGACATCACTGCCCTACGACCTCACAGCCCTACGACCTCACAGCCCTACGACATCACTGCCCTACGACATCACTGCCCTACGACATCACTGCCCCACGACATCACTGCCCCACGACATCACTGCCCCACGACCTCACAGTCCTACGACATCACAGCCCTACGACTTCAATGCCCTATGACATCACTGCCCTATGACATCACTACCCTACGACATCACTGCCCTACGACATCACTGCCCTACGACATAACTGCCCTACGACATCACTGCCCTACGACATCACTGCCCTACGACATCACTGCCCTACGACATCACTCACTGCCCTACAACCTCACAGCCCTACGACATCACTGCCCTACGACATCACTGCCCTACGACATCACTGCCTGATAATGCTGTTTCAACTACAGTTGAACCTGATGAAATCTCACACAACAAAGAGACAAAGTTAATCTTTTACTTGTTACATTGTACAAGGAGAATGTCTTGACAGAGGCAAGGCACAGACCCTAGCCTCTCTCAGGACAAGTCTGAAGATTCACAGTCTACAAGCCCCTTTTGGTAGAACAAGACACACCTTCGTATGCAGATGGGAAAGGAAGAAACCAACACAACAGTGAATTACAATACAGAGCCACATATGATTTACCAAAATGATAACTTAAGTTACATTCCAATATCACTGCCCTACGACATCACTGCCCCACGACATCACTGCCCCACGACATCACTGCCCCACGACCTCACAGTCCCACGACATCACTGCCCCACGACCTCACAGTCCTACGACATCACAGCCCTACGACATCACTGCCCTACGACATCACTGCCCTATGACGTCACTACCCTACGACATCACTGCCCTACGACATCACTACCCTACGACATCACTGCCCTACAACATCACTGCCCTACGACATCACTGCCCTACGACATCACTGCCCTACGACATCACTGCCCTACAACCCCACAGCCCTACGACATCACTGCCCCACGACATCACTGCCCCACGACATCACTGCCCCACGACCTCACAGTCCTACGACATCACAGCCCTACGACATCACTGCCCTATGACATCACTGCCCTATGACATCACTACCCTACGACATCACTGCCCTACGACATCACTGCCCTATGACATCACTGCCCTACGACATCACTGCCCCACGACATCACTGCCCCACGACATCACTGCCCTACGACATCACTACCCTACGACATCACTGCCCTACGACATCACAGCCCTACGACATCACAGCCCTACGACATCACTGCCCTACGACCTCACAGCCCTACGACATCACTGCCCTACGACATCACTGCCCTACGACATCACTGCCCTACGACATCACTGCCCTATGACATCACTGCCCTATGACGGCACAGCCTTACGACATCACTGCCCTATGACATCACTGCCCTATGACATCACTGCCCTACGACAGGGCATGACATCACTGCCCTATGACATCACTGCCCTACGACAGGGCAGTGACGTCGTAGGGCCTACGACATCACAGCCCTACGACATCACTGCCCTACGACATCACTGCCCTACGACTTCACTGCCCTACGACAACACTGCCCTATGACATCACTGCCCTATGACATCACAGCCTTACGACATCACTGCCCTATGACATCACTGCCCTATGACATCACTGCCCTATGACATCACTGCCCTATGACATCACTGCCCTACGACCTCACAGCCCTACGACATCACTGCCCTATGACATCACTGCCCTATGACATCACTGCCCTACAACATCACTGCCCTATGACATCACTGCCCTATGACATCACAGCCCTACGACCTCACAGTCCTACGACATCACTGCGCTACGACATCACTGCCATATGACATCACTGCCACTACATTAGAACAGTCCTTGATTTGTCCAATTGTGGGGAAATGTCAGTGTTGCAGTGAGGAGCTCACAGCACATGATAAGTGGATATTTAGTATAGCACAACCTTTAATAAAGTTAAATTAAATCTCTGTTTTAGCTGAATCTTGGTCCCAGTACTGACCACAATATTGAGCATAATCTTAAGAACACTGGCATAAACACCATCTTATATTCAATCTCATTTTACCGCAGCACTTTTGTATGACTGCTGCTCCATTACTGTACACACTAAACGCTGGAAGCAGTCACAGCCTTTGCCCGTGGAAACTTGTTCACATCCCACACAGACAACCTCAGGCTTGTTTGGCCAGTGCAAATGCTGCTGAGTTAATGAGGTCAGGAGTGGAGGGCCAGGTGCAGTCCGGCTACTTGAAGAGAATACTGAGCATTTGTGCTTTTCTCTGTCCGAACTCCATTTCTTACCTATCATGGAATATGTAATCCTTCTTCGAGTGCAAAGTGAAATGAAAAAGAGAATGTCACAATAATAACATTTCAAACTCAATAAATGTATACCATGGTGACAACTTCATGACGTCTTTTTCCTATCCCGCTTACGTATATGTTTGTATCTGTCCTTGCTCGAATATGTATTCAGATTGATACTAGTTTTACAATATCAGAATAATACATTTTCCATTGTCCTTTTTTTCCAGGGAATGCTCTTGCGACGTTTGGCCGAGGGTCAGAACCGCAGCCTACTCCGAGTCCGTCCACAACCTCTGGACTTAGCAACAGGGAAACAAAGGACACCGTCGCCCCGGAAACAGTGGCCACAGCTGGAAATATGTTGGATCCTCTCATTCCCTCACAGGTATGAGCGACACTGCTTACAACTTGTACTACTTTACTTACATTAATCTCTATAATTATACACATACAGAACTCAGGAGTAAAGCCCCATTCACATAAACGTCTTTGGAAAGTACAGTGAAGCTCTACTGGTGTTCTCCCATAATTTTGCCAAAATATTATTGTTACGACCCAAAGGCCAACACATATTTGAGGACACAGAGACAGGTTGAGAGTTCAAAATTGATTTTATCTATATACTGTATCTTTTGAGTGAACTCTAGATTTTGTTTATTTTAATATATAAATGATTTTAAAAAAACCAAACCCGTGTCCAGAATACAAAAAACCCAAAGTAATCTAATTAAAGGTGGACCTGGTGGGCCAGCCAAAACAAAAACAAAATGGGCCAACATCAAACCAACCTTATACAGGGCCGTCCGGATCCGATGCCGACACCCTACCAAAGAATGAAGAAAACACAACTAGCTACACCCTCTCCAGCGAAAATGTAACCACCGGGCCCACCAGATCAAACAAAAGCAAGAACAGGAAAAAAATGCTAACGAATGGCTATAAAAGTAACCAAACCATGCGGCGTCTGGGACCAAGACACAACCAGGACCAAGAGGGAGCTCATATACAAAATAGGTTACATAAAGTGTATCAAAACATTAACACAAATGTAAACAATATAATACTTATAAAAACAATCCTTCAAAAAAATTTAAAACCCAAAAATACGACACAAAACACAAAGGGGAAAAGGTGCTCAAACATAACAATTATGTGATCACTATATAGTTATTTTTTAGCTAAAATTAGCACAATAATCCGAAATATAACTCCTTTCTGCAATAACTACATCAAAACATACAGTACACGCCATAAAGAGCTTGAATGAATTACCTTTCATTTGTGTTGTGTGGATTATTTTATGTTTATTATGTTGTGTTCTTTGTTATCTTGGGCGTGGGTGTGGTTGCGTGTATTTTGTTTGTTCTTATAAAAAGAAAAGAAAAAGAAATCCAGGCAGAACACGTCTTATAAATAAAAACCCGAGCAAAAAATGGACCCACCATCAGGACAGTACAGGGTTGCACCTTCCATCCATCAAAATAAATTAAATCAAACCTCTTAAAGCACTTTTACTCCCCAATTCTACGCCGTTATATGGTCAAATACAAGCACACACATGCACAACAAACCAGACTTTGTTTAGTCTGTGATCTAACTCCACTACCTTATTTCAGGCCATAAACAACGAGTTACTGGTGGGAGCGGTGACTCTGCCGTCCAGGAGCCTGCCCAGCCGAGCCTCTCCTCTCCACCTGCTTCACACCATCCCCGTCCTGCTGCTTTTACTTAATCTGTTCAACGACGGACAGTAAATAACAACAACAACTGAGGGAAACTTATGGGAAGCCTCAAGAACACTGGACCACACGGCAAGGATTCCCTTTCAAATCCATGTACAGGAACTGGCTTTTGTAGAAACGTGTCCGACGGCTCCTGGTCCTCCAAAGCCCGTGGTCCTGCAGAGATCAGACTGTGTACAGTGTCGTGCTGCTTTTGGAACCGCTCCATCTCCGTTTTGAACATTTATTGCAAACATGAACTCATTTTTGTACAGTCGGCAGCAGTAAAACATCAGAGACCTCAGTTGCTAAAGCATATCAAATGTGCGTAGAAAGCGAGAGGCAGGAGCATCGTATTCCACCCCTGGATACTGTATAAAGCTGCTTTTTTGCTGATGTGCTCTGGACGGTTGTAAGAGTGAAGATTGAGATTGACCAGCAGCGCTCGAATTGACGTGAGAACGGCTGGCCTTGGTGAAACTCTCAAACAAGGATATCTTCATGAGGACTGACGGGGTGATCGGAGGAGAGGTTGTCTGACTTCAAAACAGCCCTGAAGACATGTGTTGTTGTTTACCTGTAAAGCTGTGCTATGTGTTTGTGCGCATAATTTGGTTTCTCATTATCTCTGTGAATATCGCCGTTCAGGCCACACGTGCTTGTGCCACTGAAGGAGGTGAGTGGTTCTACTGGAATCAGTGTTTTCTGTTTGGAAGAAAGTGGGAAAGTGTTGCAAATAAAACATTATTTCGTGATTACTCTTGGGCTCTTGTCTGTCATTAAAGCCTTTCTTTTATATGCGTGTGTGTGTGTGTGTGTGTGTGTGTGCACTTGTTTTCAACTCCTAGTGGGTTCCATAACCTGAGATTCCACTCACGTCATGGGGACTGGTTTTACGTGGTGGGGCCCGAACACCGGACCCCACTGGTCCAAGCTTAATAATCAATGGGTAATGCTTTTCTAACGGTCCTTATGCAGTCTCTGTAAAAATATGGAAAGGACCCCTGGAGGTTTACTTTCCTGAAAAAAGTGTGTTATGTGTCGGAACCCTGGTGGTGGGTTGCGGGATATCAGGGAGGGGCACACTGGGCCAATTTCAGTCCAGCAGGCTGGAGCCAATCATGGAGCAGCACAACAGAGGAAGTCAGGTGAAAAGGTGCAAGTGTGTGGTTCATTAGGCTGCAAGACATCATGGAGGAGCACACTGAAGCGCACGCTTACAACCCACTGATAAGTGCTGACTACAAGTCATGACTTCAAATTGTTATATAGAATTATTACAAATTATTTGTTGTTTGTGCAGCTTAGTCAAGAGTCCCTAATTGATGAAGTCGACTCAGATTCTGACGATTTAACTGTCAAGAAGAAACCTGTAAAAAAGTATGGAAAAAGAAAAATCAAAAACACTTTTCTTCAAGACTCGGAAAGTGACGAACCAAAGGCAAATAAGATTGTTATCATGCAGCTGCAAAAGAAGAAAAATGGGGGCAGGGTTTACAGCAAGAGACACTTCTGCCTCTACTGTTCAATGTCCTGCCACAAAATGTCCCGTCATTTGACTAGAAAACATGGAAATGAAAGTGACGTAGCCAGAGCATTGGCTCTACCTGTGAAGTCTAAAGCACGTAAACTTCAGTTTGATTTGATCAGGAATAGTGGAAACCGTGAGCACAATTTTGAGGTTTTAAAGGCCGGCATTGGAACTTTAGTCCCAGCTAAACAGCCAAATTCCCCAGTTAAATCCAGTGAGTTTTTGCACTGCATAGACTGTGGGGCATTGCTTAAGCGAAAGTCGCTGTGGAGGCATGTGGCCAGGTGCCGGCTTTCACAGAAAGATGCCCAGGCTAAACCAGGTAGAAGAAGGGTCCAGTCCCTCTGCTCCCTAGCCCAGCCTGTACCGGAGGGCATCAGCAAAAAGCTGTGGTCTTTAATTTCGGCAATGCATCAGGATGAGGTCACGGGTGTTGTCAAAGCAGAAAAGGGGATTCTGAGACTCGGAGAGCACCTGTACTTAAAACACGGGCATGATAAGACTAAGCATGATTACATTAGGCAGAAAATGAGAGAAGTCGGTAGGTTAATTAACGAAGCAAAAACCGCAGGGAAACTGAAAACAATTAAGGATTTCTTTATTCCTTCCAACTTTAACCATGTGATTGATGCAGTCAGGTCTGTGGCTGGATATGATGAGGAAACAAATCAATACAAGACTCCATCCTTGGCCCTCCAACTCGGCCATAGCCTCAGAAAGCTAGCAGATATTCTTGAATGTGACTCAAAAATGGAGCATTGTGTTGATGAACTATTTATTAAAAACCTCCAACGAAGCCGGCTGCTTTTTGAGAAGAGGTGGGACGTCTGTGTTTCTTCTGCTGCCCTACAGACCCTCCGGCAAGCCAAGTGGAACACTCCGGACCTGCTCCCTCTGACTGAGGACGTTAGAGCCATGCATGCACATATTGAGGTATGTCGACCTGAATATGTGCAAACCCTAATAAGTGAGCCAACGTCTAAGCATTGGTCTAAACTGGCAGTTTTGACTCTTTGTGAGGTCATCATTTTCAATCGAAGAAGGGAAGGTGAGGTTTCAAAGATGCCACTGACAGCCTTTACCTTAAGAAGTAAGACTGGGATCCATTCTGACATTGCTCTGGGACTGTCCCAACTTGAGAAAAAGCTGTGTCAGCATTTTCAACGCATTGAAATTAAAAGGAAAAGAAGTCGGAAAGTGCCGGTTCTTTTGACTCCTGAAATGATTGCTTCGATGGAGGTGCTGGTGGAGAACAGAAGGGCCTGTTCCATCTCTGACCATAACCCATACTTCTTTTCCCGCCCGGGCGCAGACACCCACATCAGGGGATCAGACTCCCTACGCCAGGTAGCCAAAGAATGTGGTGCGGTGCATCCAGAGATGCTATCCTCAACCAAACTTAGAAAGCACATAGCTACTATGTCTACAGTTCTCAATATGAAAGAGAATGAGATGGACATACTTGCCAACTTCCTCGGCCATGACATTCGCATCCACAGGCAATATTACAGACTACCAGAGGGGACACTGGAGCTGGCCAAAATCAGCAAAGTGTTGATGGCCATGGAGCAGGGAAGAGTGACGGAATTCGAAGGAAAGAGCCTCGACCAGATACAAATTGAGCCTGAAGGTAATTCTTGATATTATTAAAATATGTATGATTTTTTTCCCCTAAAGGCCACTTGTATTTTTATTTTCTGTGCGACAGGGAGAGCAGTAGAGATCCTCTCACAAACGGACGGGCTAAAAGAAACTTCAAGCGGAGAACCTTCAACCATTCATCCAGATGCACCCCATGGTAGTGGCAGTGCCCCTTCTGTTAAGTGTACCAGGTGGGGGATTACAGCCAGGCTGCTTGGTCCTAACCCTGGGAGTGTATATTGCTAATATATTTTTATTTCTCTCCCTAGAACGTGTAAGAAAGCCATGGTCTGCATCTGAGGTGAAGGCTGTGGAGAAGACCATGACACCTTTCATACAGACTGGAAAGGTCCCTGGGAAGTCTCACTGCCTGGCCTGCATTAATGCCTCACCAGATGACCTTAGACATCGGACATGGAGTGGCATTAAATTCTATGTCAAAAATAGAATCACTGCAATTCGAAAACAAAATCTAAAATAAAATTCCTTTAAAATAGTTGTTTGGTTTCTATTGACTGTTTTGTATTACTTAAAGTAGTCCCAGTAAAAAAAGATTATGTCTATGGGTCCCATTCTGAACGGCCCTGTCAAAGGGACCCACCAGGTAACAAAAACGTGTATGTGTGTGTGTGTGTGTGTGTGTGTGTGTGTGTGTGTGTGTGTGTGTGTGACAGCCTGTGTACAGTATGCAGAGTTCATGAATAATTATTTTCTTTTGATCCACTCAACTCATTTCTTTGTCAAGGACGGCTTCTTGAAGTGATTGTGTCATGTGGTGAGATGATGGAGGACTCAAAATGCAGGAATGCCAAAATAATGGTTTAATGAAATAAAGTCCAAAGTGAAAATAAAACTCAAAAATCCGAAGGGAACAGGATCACAATATCAAGAACAAGACAAGACAGGTGTTGACAAGACAATGGACCAGCAACAAGGGGAGAGAAGCACAGGGTACATATAGACACAGAGGGACACAGGTGAAACATAGATCCATGGGCGGGGCAGACAATCAAGACAGGGGAAAACAGGACATCAAAGTCAAAATAAAACCAAAATACAAAATAACTAAATCCACACCGTGACAGATTGACACTGAGGCCTTGCACCTCATTCACTCATGTGTCATTGGCGGTGGTCGATCAACGGCTACAATCTGACCCGTTCTCTTGGGATGATGTGCGCATCACAGGCTCTAGCGCAATCCCTCAACAGCAACAGACGTTTTACTTTAAGATGATAAATGAGGCAAAATATGCTGATACGCATGCTGAAACCCTGCCTTTTAACTCCTTTTGGAATTAATGGGAATTTATTGAAATGCCATTCTAAATGTGGCACCAAACAGAAATAAAAAAGAATTGAGAAATAACAGATAATCCCCCTTGGTAGTAGTTTCGACTTTCTTCACGAAGATGAATGATCATATCTCTTTTCTGAGTTTATTCACCTACAGCACGTTTGGAAATGGTGGGATGAAATACATAGACCCAAAAAAGAGAATGATGTCGGACCACTCACTTAATTTAAATAGAAAACATTGTATCTTTTGCATATAGTGCTTGTACTTGTACCCATGTGAATCCCTACTTAAGGCTTTGGGCTGAGAGGTGATTGGCTGAGTAAGGGTGATCCTCTCTTTTTCACTTCGCTCTCTGAAAAATCTGATCTAAAGATGTGATAAAGGCCAAAAATGACAAGTTTGAGAGCTAGGAACTAGTTGGATGGATTTCATTAGATTTTTTTGTAGTTTGAAGAGGAGGTACCCCGGCTTTAACCCTTTAATGTGTTCCTACTCTTACTCTTTGGTATATCACTTTATGAGTCACTACATCTACTTTATCTATGCCCTGGACAGTAGCTA